AAGTTGTTGGATTAAAATGGATTAAACAAATATGTTGTAGAGCAAGGTGAGAACTTCAAGTTTCTCTAATAATCTACTGCATTTCTTAGAGTAGATAATCTACCTGAGCTTCCGAAAAAAGTATTGTAAAACATGTAAAAAAAAATCTATAATTAATTGTGTAATGATCTACAAAATCAGGACACTCTGGACGTTCTGTCCTGTTGTCCATAGTAGACATTTAGACTCATAGACAGACATTCGTCTGATTGGCTATGCAAATCAATTGCCTGGGTAACTTATTTATACTATTTAAAGTACTTTTTAAAAATGTAACGTTTCACTATCAAAAAATAATCATAAAAGCCATTTCTAGCTTCGAAAGAACGTCTATATTCACTGTGCAAAAATAATCAAAAATAATCAGTAACCCCAAAAACTTCACTTAGACGCAAAGATTTCAGTATTTATTACTATTACTATACCGTATTAGCTGTATACAAGTACTGATTGCAAAAAATAGTCGAATAAAAAGAACGTTCAAGGTGTTTAAGGTAAAGTTAGATTTTGAAAAGGAATTTTTACAAGCTATTAGCTTATCGTATTTAAGTTAAATTACTTCTTTTAATAAATCTTAATACTTATATTTCTTTATTATTGTGTAGAACTTATTAAATAGATAGATATAATATGGCTTTAGAATAGATAGTACGTGTAGTATTAATTAATAATATAAACTAAAAGACGTAATGCAATGGTTGTAATAACTGAAATAGAATTATTATTTAAGAATTTACATGAATAAAGAGAAAATTTTATTCTTTTCGATAAATACGAATAATAATTAAAAAAATATATAGTATAAGTGGTATTGCAATTAATAATATATTTCGAGGGTTGTAACATCTCTAGCAAAAGAAAGGCAGTAATAATTAAAAATAGAATTTTGCCTCTAATTAACGAAGAATAGTACCGTATTTAAGTTTCGCTGGTATAAAGTTTCGTCTGCATTATCATTATGAATTCGTTTGATTTGATTGACAATTTGATTTTTGATTGGTTAATTATCACGGGAAATCACGGGTAGATCTGCGAAAATTGACCAATCATATGAATGTCTTCCTATGAGGATAGTAGTGTAAAACCAGAATTTTCGGGTATAAGTGAACTAAAAAAAAAAAAAACCAAACATCCAATACTTTACTAATAAAATACCTTCATAACGAACGTCTTGTCAAGAAACAAAGTTGCATCACGTTGCATCACGCTATACAAGGTAGATCTCTTAATAGTTGAAGTACTATCTACCATAGTAAAAGGTAAGAAAAGTAGATTGTACTGTTTAATTCGCAAAGTTTAACGTTGTTTTTTTCAATTTTTTTTCTTTATTATTTCAATTATTAACTTGTTAATTTTTATTTACAAACTTTTATGCAGACTTTCTTTTAAAGTTATACATGCTTCTTAAAAGATATTTGACATAGTAGAATAATTTAATATGTACGATAGTATAATTTCATTAATTACGCAAAACTTAAGAAAAACTATTGAAGGACGCGTAACTTGTATTAAAAATCTTTTAAATGAGTTTTTACAATTGTAAAATTGCTGTTATAATGTGGATGAATGGTCTGATTTCTTTACAACGCGAATTATTTTACTTCAAAGTTAAACTATGAACGAAATCGTAATATACGAGTAATGCCCGTTGATTGGCTGCCTTCAACGATTATCTGTTTTGATCATGTGTTAATAAAGCGGCTTCTGATTGGTTAATTATCATATGACAAAGCCCGTGTTTTTCCGAAAAGTGAGAAAGTCCCCCATGCTTCTACATGCTGCAGAAATTATATTTAGTGGTCGATCAAAATTTTTCGACCGACCGAGCTGATGAAATTTTATCGGCTTAGTCGGCTTAGCTGAAAAATTTCAAATAAACCCGTATAGAAAATATCTTACTACTGTACTACGTATATATAATTATGCGATTCAAAAATTTATTAAATTAAAGCTGCCAATAAAAACCTGTTGTGATTTTTAATTTGCCGAATTTAGTTTATTTAATGAATTATTAATGCACGATCAATTTAGCGTGAAATAAAGTTAATACATCGCTCATTTGAACATGAATACGTCATCTATTCCTAAAGAAAATCAACAGTGATTTAACCCTTATACCGATTTAGAGTAACGTTTTCGAAAATTTTTAAAATAAATTCTTATGCTTTACTGTTTAATAGAAGAGTCTGTTAAAAGTAGTGCTTGGCAAAATCAAGTAAAACCCGAAAATCGAGTTTTATTCAATTTTACCAAACACTAGTATCGGCTAATTTATTAGCAGTTGGTCAGTTTTCTAAGCACTTATTCATCAGATCAGAAAGTAATTGAGAAATTTCACATCTAATTTTATGTCTGTAACCTAGACAAATACGTGTTGCTAGATCATTGTCATGTGGAATATCATGATATGGAGGATATTAGTAAAAACTTCTGACATAATTATTCTGAAAGAATAAATATCTGATTTTTGAGTGTATTCCTTTCCATGTGCACATAATACCTCTGGAGCAATATAGGGAAGCACACCAAAAAGTGCTTTAGAACTTGAGTCATTAATATAAGAGCTAAACATATTTTGATTAGCTGAATTTCCGGAATGAAAACTTTGTGCGCTAGGTTGGCGTTGTGAATTGTATAAAGCCTCCTAGCTATTGTCACGGGGTAAAGGTGACGTATTCAGAAATCTTTAACCATACCAAAATAAGAAATCGACGCCACCACGATTGAGGCTATGAAAATTAGGCCATTACTGAAGCTTGTCAGCCGAACTGTGATAACAGCCTCAGTAAATAAACGTGAACCCAAACATCCGAAGAACAAGTTCGCGTTAGTAAAGTTGAAGATTAAAGGACAGAAAAGAGTAAAGCTTGGGGCATTAATAAAAAATGTCGGAGAGGCAATTTTACTATAACACCTATCCTCACCTTAACTCTACTCTAACCC